ATTCATTGAAGTGGGCCCACTTTCCTGCCCACTCTCTTTGCTTTAAAGCCTCAGGGGCACAGAATTAAATTACCCATTGTCTTCTGATCTTGACACACTCTCCTGCTTATCCCCATAAGAATTCATTTATTTTATTTTACTTTATTTTATTTTATCTTAATTTTTATAGAGGAAGGGTCTCACTGTGTTGCCCAGGCTGGTCTCAAACTCTTGGGCTTAAGGATCCTCCAACCTTGGCCTCCCAAAGTACTGGGATTCCAGGCGTGAGCCATGTGCCCAGCCCCTTTCTTTTTTCATATTTATATTTTATTGAGATGAAATTCACATAAAATTAACCATTTTAAAGTATAATGTTTCAATAGTGTTTAGTATTTTTACAATAGTGTGCAACCATTACCACTCTCTAGTTCCAGAATGGTTTCATCACTCCGCTAAAAAACCCTGTCCCCATTAAGTAAATACCTCTTATCCCCTGGCCGCTGGCAACTGTCTGCTTTCTGTCTCCGTGACTTTTCCTATTCTAGTTATTTCATATAAATGGATGTCTGTATGACCTTTTGTGCTTGGCTTTTTTCATTAAACATAATGTTTACAAGGTTCATCCATGTTGTAGCATGAATCAGCACTTTTAATTCTTTTAATGGCTAAGTAATATTCCATTGTATGGCTGTTCCACATTTTATTTATCCATTTATCCATTACTGGATGGACATTTGGGTTGTTTCCACCTCTTGGCTATTGTGAATAGTGCTGCTATGAACCTTCATGTATAAGCTTTTGTTTGGATGCCTGCTTTCAGTTCTCGGGTATGTACCTAGGAGTGGAATTGTGGGCCACATGGTCATTCTTTGACTTATTGAGGAACTGGAGGTCCTTTCTCGATGACATCCACCCCAGGTCTGCTCTGACAGGAATAGCAGGCATGTTCCACCCTGTCCCCACCTCCCGAGACACTGAGAATTGGCACAGTGCCATCATTCTGTTAGACCCGGAAATAAACTGAAGGGAAGAGAGTATGGTCACCAAAGAGATGCTGGTAATGGAAGAAAGAAAGTTTGGATGGGGGTGAGAAGGGGAGGGGATACCGAGAAGATTCAGGGTCACTCGAAAAGATTTGACTAAAACTCAGGAAGAACTTAAGAGAAAGAGACTCAGCCACCCAGAATGAAGGAAATTGTAAGCCTAAAATACCCATGGCTGCTGCAGCCAATCCACTCGGGATACAAGAGAGCTGTGACCTTAAGGGGCTGGGAAGCCAGGGAGAAAGAGTCTTTAATGTTAAAGATGTCAGCCATTTGGGCTTTGTGGAAGCCCTGAAGGCTTTTAGACTGAGACGTAGTCAGGTGAATGTTGTCTTAAACAGGTCACCCTGACCACAGGGAAGGGGAGAGCTTGGAGTCAAGACAAGACTGGAAGCAAGGAGCCTGCTTAGAAGGCTACCATTGTCAGCTGGGCACAGCGATTCACACCTGTAACCCCACATTTTGGGAGGCTAAGGTGGGAGGAATACCTGAGTCCAGGAGTTCAAGACCAGCATGGACAACATGGTGAAACCCTATCTCTACAAAAAATACAAAATTAGCTGGGTGTAGTGGCATGTGCCTGTAGTCCCAGTTACTCAGGAGGCTAAGGTAGGAGGATCACTTGAGCCCAGGAGGTTGAGGCTGCAGTAAGCCATGACTGCACCACTGTACTCTGGACCGCCTGGGCAATGTAGTAAGACCCCATCTCCAAAAAAAGAAGACTACCGTTGTTCTGAGAGGAAGGGTGGTCAGGGTGGACCAAGGAAATGGCAGTGAGGATGGAGAGGAGACAAGTTTGAGAGGTGCTTAAAAGGGAGCACAGTTGTCAGGACGGGTAACTGTGGCTACAGAGCTGAAGGCAGAGCATGAGATGCTGCGGAGAAGAAAGGATAAAGCAGGAAGCAGCAGAGGAGGGAGCCTCAGAGCCAGAGAGCTCCAGAGCACTGCACACACTGCCCAGAGAGCCCAGTCAGATGAGAGCTCAAAGCCAAGAGCATAGGGACAGGAAAGCTGTGGAGGCCCCCAAGGCGCTCCCCTCAGTGACGGCTAAATGCAGAGGAGACTTGCCTCCTTTTTCTTCCTTCAGGTGACAGAACTTTCAAAATGGACTCTGTGTGTTTTGACTTCAACATTTTGACTTGGAGGACACTGTGACTCTACATAAATGCAAAATTCTAATCTGAATTATATGAACATTAATTCATTTCATCAAGAAATTATTTTCCATTGTAACTCCAACAGTCCAGTTTAATTCCTTCATCAATTTTCTATACGGAGCGGATGCAGTGGCTCCCACCTGTAATCCCAGCACTTTGGGAGGTCTAGGCAGGCAGATCACTTGAGGTCAGGAGTTTGAGACCAGCGTGGCCAACATGGTGAAACCCTATCTGTACTAAAAATCCAAAAAGAATTAGCCAAGCGTAATCACAGCTATTTAGGAGGCTGAAGTGGGAGAATCACTTGAAACCAGGAGGCAGAGGTTGCAGTGAGCCGAGATCCTGCTACTGCACTCCAGTCTGGGTGACAGAGCAAGACTCTCTCTATATATGTGTGTGTGCATGCGTGTGTGTACATGTGTGTGTGTGTGTGTATACATATATACACACACACACACACATATTCTATACAGAGCAGTGAAGCCATTTCCTAATGTTCTCCCTTATTTTCTTAAATATCAACTCTTTTTGTGTGTGTTTTAAGATAGGGTTCTGCTCTGGCACCCAGGCTGGAGTGCAGCGGTACGATCACAGCTTACTGCAGCCTTGAATTTCTAGGCTCCAGTGATCCTCCCACCACAACCTCCCAAGTAGCAGGGACCACAGGCATGTACCACCACAGTCAGCTAATTTTTACATTTTTTTTGTAGACACAGAGTCTCATCATGTTGCCCAGGCTGGTCTTGAACTCCTGGGCTTGAGTGATCCTCCCACATCAGTTTCCTAAAGTGTTGGGATTATAGGCATGAGCCACTATGCCCAGCGCTTTTGTTTTTTTTTGTTTTTTTTTTTTTTTTTTTTTTTTTTTCAGATGGAATCTGGCTCAATATGTTGCCCAGGCTAGAGTGCAGTGGTGTGATCTCGGCTCACTGCACCCTCTGCTTCCTGGGTTCAAGCGATTCTCCTGCCTCAGCCTCCCTAGTAGCTGGGATTACAGGTGCCTGCCATCACATCTGACTAACTTTTATATTCTTAGTAGAGATGGGGTTTCACCATGTTGGCCAGTCTGGTCTGGAACTCCTGACCTCAGGTGATCCACCTGCCTTGGCCTCTCAGAGTGCTGGGATTACAGGTGTGAGCCACTGTGCCCGGCCATGCCTAGCCTTTAATAGTGATTTTATTTTTATTTAAAAATTTTAATAGGACTTTTCATGCCCAGTTTTAGACCTTGGAAGTTTTTTGTGTTTATTTCCACCAAGTCACAATTTTCCCCCAGTCATTGTTTTGTTGTTTGTTGCAGTTTTCAGTATTACTAACAAAATGATTCATGGGGTCAGTTACTGAATTTTTTCATGTACTGCCATTTTCAGTGTAGTCTGACTCTCTTCACTAGTGACATTCACTGCAAAGTAGAAAACAGCCTGCTTCTTCCCGGGGTCCCTTCTCCCAGCCTGTCCACTGAAGGCCTGGTGCTTAAAGGAAGGGAAGTTTTCTGAGCAGTGGACACCTGGGGTCCTGAAACCCTACTTAGATGCTCCTCTTAGCAGGTAATTTCAAGCCATCCTGCAACAGTTTGAGCTTTCCTCCTTTTTAGTTGACCCAAAACCCAGAGCCTTACTGCCCTCTAACCTCTGACTTGTTCCCTCTTCTTTGGCGTGTTCCCAAAAGAGGTTTTCTGTGGACCTCTCCCTTCTCTTACCTGCCCTACAGGCTTCTCCACACTCGGCGTCAGACTAGGGCCATGTCGGAGGTGGTTTCCCATGCCTTTGGGAAGTGTACAGTCACTCCAGGGAGGCTGCTGGGGAGTGTTGGCCACCCAGGACAGATAGGAAAGGCCTTGAGAGGGCTGGGAGTAAACTCCCTTTCAAGATACCAAATTCCCAGAAACTTCGAAATCGCAGGCGTTTTCATTTTCAACACTGTAAATCTTAAAATCACATGGTGAGTTTAAAAGTCGTTCATACCTTGATTTGCTCATTACATTACCATATACTGTGTTTGTTCTATTTAGAGCCATAAAAGCCTAGGTGTGAGGTAGGGGTGCCTAATAAGGGAACTTTCTGGATTCTGTATAAGGCTGGGAGGTGGTAAAGACTTCAGGAGAGAAACGTTATCTTCTTGAATTTTTCCGACGTTCAATTTCTGATCTTCAGTTACACCTCAGGACCATCTGCACCACTACCACCCATATCCCACCAGTGTGTTTTGGGAGCCAGGCAGTCCCCTGTCTTGAGTTCTGTGCTGTGTTTATAGTACCTCAACTGGGCACGTTCTTCAAGGCTGGCACAGTGCCTTTTGCTCATGACTGCTCTGTTGAAATGAATCGGTTACTTGCTTTCTTCCTCTCTCCCACCTCAAGCCCTGAATAAGCTCAGAGGGTGGAGAGTGGTAGTGGGAAGCCAGGCAGGGGATGCCGAGGGCCAGGGAAGCTTCACAAAGAGCTCAGAGGGAGCCAGTCAGTCTTAGGAGCTCAGGCCAAGAAGAAATTTCCTACAAAAGGAAGTTCCAGTAGTGAAGTAAGCTAAAGAAAACTGAAGTGACTTCAAGGAAAAGAAAAAGAGCAGTTTCAAGATCCAGGCTGGTCAGTAAGGAATGTGGAATGTGTCCTCAGAGCCGGTGATGAACTCTGCCCAGGCAGAGGAAGAGGAGGCTGATGGAAGGCAGACCTCAAGTTGCCCAGCATTTACCAGTCTGTGGAAGCCTCCCTCACTGGCTCATGACATGGGCAGGGAAGAAAGAAGAGGGCTGGGTACTGCCATGTCCAGGAGGAGTGCTCGGGGTGAGTGGCCACGCAGATAGGAATGAAGTGCGAGGCATTTACCACGTGTGCAGAGTTGGATGCGATCAAACCCTCTGGGAGGCTCTGCAGAGTAAAATCACCAAGGAGCAGAGGGAGGGGCTCATCTGCTGTGAAGGGACTGGCTTTGCACTTTGCACAGGAAGGGCATGACACAATTCAGGCCAAAGGAATCATCACCAAATGCAAGAATGCCAAATGCAGGCCAGGATGGCTGGACAGGGCCCATTGTTTGCTCTGCTGTCCCTTCACACACCAGGGCCTTTGTTACCTGCCCTGGAATAGCCACAAAGCCCATGTGCTCAGCCCATGGGTGCTGTAACCCTTCCTCCTGAGCTCCAGAGATTGCCTAAGAAACAGGAGTGAGTTGCACTCAGAACTGGGTATAATGGAAGCACCTGAAGGGCTGGAGGCTGGTGGGTCAGCTCCAGGCTGTAAGCCCCCTGGAGAACCAGGTCTTTTTCCCAGATGCTATTTTCTGAGAGCGATACTTGTTTTAATCCATTCCTTATTTGTTGGTTTCATGAAGTAAACAAATGCGAGTATTTTTCTAGGGTCTGAGCTGAGTATGTTGTTAACTGGCTGTAATTTATCAGCCCCTTTTGGGTGAAGTATGTCCCTATTGAAGAAGAAGAACTCTTACAAAATGCTTACTTGTTTTCATTCAGACTGGTTGTATCCATTTTTAAAATCAGTTTAAGGGAAAAAAATTTATTTACCCAGTGATTCGAGGTGGGCTCACATTTAAAAAATCATAGTTATTTTAGCTTTAAAAATAAAGATCTTTTGGAATGTATTATTGATTAGAAATAATAAAGATTTTGAAATTATCTTTTCTTTAAAATGAAAACAAAGGATTTGCTAGGGTATTTCTGGTTTCATCATAGGTCACCAGGAAGTGTTTACATCAGGCAGTCACGGGTTTTAGGAACATAACACTTCGGTGGAGTTTGTATTCTTTGGGAGCTGGACTTGCAGGAACTCTGGGGAACCCAGGCCATTTGTTCCATTTGAAAATGGCTAAAACATGAAGAAAAGGCAAATTCTTAACATTTTAAAAGGTTTCCTCTCAAGTAGTCTTAAAATTTCAAATGATGGTGTTGTATCCCATCCCTTCAGACCTGGAATCACATTTCCCCCTCAGGACAGAAAGGGCTCTGCGGAAGCTGTGGCCGGGAAGGGGCTGCGTCTCACTTGTGGCCACCTCTCTGCCCAGGAGCTGGGGGATTCCTTTCAGAAAAAAGGAGATGAGGAGATGAGCCCCCCTTCACATCTACCCCAAAGAGAGACCAGGGTTCTAGACTGACCACTTGCAGAGACGTTCACGAAGGGACTGTTGATGGCGGTGTAGGATTGGAGGGAGGCCTACAGCAGCACTTCTCGTCCTTGCCCCTGTGGCACTGATTGGGGTAGTAGGGCTGTTGTGAACACTGGAGGACGCTGAGAGGCATCTCTAGCCTCTACCTACTCCATGCCAGTAGCACCACCTCCTCCTAATTGTGACAGCCAAACATGTCTCCAGACACTGGCAGGTGTACCCTGGGAGCAGTGTGCTCTCTGGCTGAGAACCATGGGTGAAGGGAAGCAGTAGTGATGCTGAGGCATCTAGAGAAGAGCAGTAGGAAGCCCTCCCCACCCTCTGGCTGAAAGGGAGAACCGGGAGAGCAAAGTCGGGGAGGAGGGGCTGCCCCGCAGGTGTCCTAGGCATGGGGGATGCAGCCACTGCTGGAATCTTCACAACTTTCCAGGGAGGGTGCAAGAAAGAAATACTCCCAACTCCTCTCTCTTCTCTCCCGTATACCAGTGTTCCCTTTCCATTAGGAGAATCCAGCTAGAAGCCTGGTGGCAAGGACATCTGGGTAAGGCAGTCTTTAGAGATCAGCATCCTGGGGCACTGAGCAGGGTGGAGAAGGGCAAAGAATGGAAAACAAAATTATCAGTCTTCATCCGTCTGTCCATCCATCTGTCTGTCCATCCATTCATTCAGTACTTATGAGCAGCTTAGCAAAGTGGTCAAGAATGTAGGTGCTGGGCTGGGCGCAATGGCTCACACCTGTAGTCCCAGCGCTTTGGGAGGCTGAGGCGGGTAGATTGCTTGAGCTCACAAGTTCAAGACCAGCCTGGGCAATATCATGAAACCCCATCTCTACCAAAACTACAAAAATTAGCCAAGCAGAATGGTGTGCCTATATAGTCCCAGCTACTTGAGCGGCTAAGGTGGGGACCAGGCGCGGTGGCTCACGCCTGTAATTCCAGCACTGTGGGAGGCCGAGGCAGGTGGATCACAAGATCAGGAGATCGAGACCATCCTGGCTAACGGTGAAATCCCCACTCTACTAAAAATACAAAAAATAAGCCAGGCATGGTAGCACATGCCTGTAGTTATAGCTGCTCAGGAGGCTTAGGTGGGAGAATCGCTTGAACCCAGGAGGTGGAGGTTGCAGTGAGCTGAGATTGCGCCATTGCACTCCAGCCTGGCAACACAGCAAGACTCCATCTTAAAAAAAAAAAAAAAAAAAAAAAGAGAGAGAGGCTACGGTGGGAAGATGGCTTGACCCAGGAAATGGAGGTTGTGGTGAGCTGAGACCATGCCATTGCACTCCAGCCTGGGTGGCAGAGCCAGAAGCCAGACCCTGTTTCAAAAAAAAAAAAACTATGTGTGTGTGTGTGTATGTGTTTATGTATATATATATATGCGTGTGTGTGTGTGTACATATACATATATATATATATATATATATATATGCTGGAGTCAGATACACCTGGATTTATCTATGGCCCTACCACTTGTGACCTGTATCCTATACGATCTTGAACGAGTTATTTATCTAAATCTCAGTCACCTTGAGTGTAAAATGGCAACAATAATTCTGTCTACCTATGTGACCTTATTGTTGCAATCCTGGATTTTTTTCCCCAGCAGGGAAAATACAAGTCACATGTAAATTGCATAGTATCAGACCACAATCAAGTGCTAAGTGGGTGGTATCTGGGAAGTACCCAGTGTTGCTTTTATGAACAATCCTGGGAAAGGAAAGACACGGGGTTCAGCCACAGAATGCACCCCTCAGCATCTTTGAGCATTGTGCAGATACAGCAGAGAAAGAGGTCCCAGTGGGCTGAGAAACACCACAGGATCTGCATTGTGTTCTGAGGGACAGGCGGGCAGGCTAAGTTAGCAGGGAATGGTGAGTGAATCAAAGCCAAGAGAGTTGGAGGGAGGGGAAGGCCCCGACTGCAGTAGGGGGAGACCACCGAGAAGAGGTTTGGCTGAGGGACTCAGTGTTCTTTCCTGTAAAAGGAAGGGGAGGGCTTGGGGCCAGTTGCCTGCCTTAGTACTATTGTATCATTACATAGGGGTCACAAACTCCCATGTCCACAGAGACCAGGCAAGTTAGCATGAGTGTGAAAGGGGCACGGTGGGAGGCAGTAGGGTGGTCCCAGGCTGGAAGCACATCCGCCTTCTGTAGGCGTGGCCACCACCCTGCTCCAGGTAGCCATTGCCATCCTCTAATGCAGACCTAGAGATATCAGAGTCGAATTTTCTGAATTTTCAAAAGATGCTAGAAAATTGGATCTTTCAGGAGGCTGGGGCAGGAGAATTGCCTGAACCCAGGGGGCGGAGGTTACGGTGAGCCGAGATCGCGCCATTGCACTCCAGCCTGGGTAACATGAGTGAAACTCCGTCTCAAAAAAAAAAAAAAAAAAGAAAATTGGATGTTTATAAGAAACGTCCTGTTTTTTAAGTCCATGTGAGCTGTAATAGTTCCTTTGCACTCCTGTCTAGACACTGCTGATGGGTCCCGACAGGGGTGCAGGAGACCATTCAGTACAGTTTAGCTGACACAACTCAGCTTAGAACCCTAGCTGTGTGTGTTTGGTTGGGTTCTGCCTCCGAATATACATTCTTTTAAACAGTAGGCTCTAAGACTTAAAATAAAAAGGAGGGGAGGCATGGTGGCTCACACCAGTAATCCTAGCACCTTGGGAGGCATAGGTGGATGGATCACTTGAGCCCAGGAGTTCAAGACCAACCTGGGCCACATGGAAAAAACCCGTCTCTACAAAAAATTCAAAACTTAGCGGGGCGTGGTGGTTTATGCCTATAGTTTCAGCCACCCAGGAGGCTGAGGTGGGAGGACGGCTTGAGCCTGGGAGGTTGCTGCAGTGAGCTGTGATTGTGTCACTGTGCCCTAGCCTGGGCAACAGAGTAAGACCTTGTCTCAAAAAAATAAACAAACATAAACAAAAAGGAGGAAGAGGGGTCCATGTGGGTCAGATGAAGTCTTGAGTTCCCCCTAGACTTAATACTATGGCCAGGTAGGGAGTGGGGGAGAGGGATGGCTGTAGACAAGGGCAGAGAGGGAGGGTGAGCCATAGTCCTGGCGCCACACATGGCCCTGGCACTTGGCCCAGTGAATGCTGGGACTAGGGCTGCCCTTGAGAGCTCTAGCCAGCACATTTGGTTCTTCTTTGGTGAAATTTTTTTAATTTTCAGATAAAGAGCAGAGTCTAATACCACAAACACCCATGTTCCCTGTCCTTAGGACCCTGACCTTCCTCTGGACCATTTGTCTCCAGTAGGGGTCAGCTGGGAGCTCTGATTGGTGGTAAAGGTTGAAATGATGGCATTTGATGGCATGGCCATGAATGTACTCACAGAGTGCCCTGCTCTAAGCTCTGATGGCCCTGGAAGGTGGAGAGCCCTGGCTAGTCTAGGAGTAGAGGGTAAGGGAAGGCAGGGGGCAGAGAGGCTTCTGGCAGCACCAGGAAAAGTTGAATGGCAGAGTCAGCTCAACCAAGCTTGTTTTTCATGGCTAAAGTTCAGGCTCTTGCCCTGCTGAGGAGAAGTGAAGAAGACCATAGAAAAGACTAAAAATAATGAGGTTATCTGGAAACAGCCTCATGAAACCTGAGTGTATTTTTTCTCAGAAAAAGAAAGCATAGTAACACTCACTCCATCAAACGCTGCCTTTGCTGTCCAGTCCTCCCTTCAGTGAGTAGGCAGCTTGTCTCCCTGTGGCCCAAGCTTGGGGTCCTCACTCCCTTCCAGTTGTGCGTGTCCTCTCACCTGCCCTCACTTGGCCGTGTCCCCTCTGTGAAGCCTCCTCCCCCCTCCACATTTATTTTCCTTTCTGTCCCTTCATTACCCCTACCCATGATATAATTCGTCTGTGTCACACACCATCTTCGACTGCTTCCTAACACTTGGTGTGGGTCAGCTTGCCTCTCACATCTCTTCACTGTCTGAGGGAAGGGAGTGGGAGGTTTTCCTCCTGTTTCACACAGTCCTGTCCACATACAGGTGATCAATAAATACTTGTGTGTAGATAAAATATCAGATTGATGGGTGAGTGGGTAGATGGGTGGTAAGTTGGTTGGATGGCAGGGCCACCCAGCACCTTGGCCAGCCCTGCTAAGGCTGAGGGATTTTTCAGATGCCTGAAGGAAGATTCTCCAGACCTAGGGAGAGGGAAAATTCAACCCATCGCCATTTGCACAGTATTTACTGTGCTGATTTCCCTCTCTTGAGAAGGACTAGAAGGCAGACTTGACCAATGGCCTTAGTCTAGAAGGCATCTCCCCCACAATACTTTAAAATCAGACCGTGGGCTTTTTAATCCATGGTCTGAAATCATTTTCAAGGTTGGCACCTGGAAAACATCCACTTTGACATCTTTCAGTCAGTACAGTTGAAAGCAACCTCAAAGCCTGTGACTTACCTGTCTACCTGCCTAGAAATTAATAATCACTTCCTCTAGTTGGAGAAATGAGAGGCTGTGATTTGTAGTGGAGCCAGCACACTGCATGAGGCCTGGGTCATCACCTCCAGCCCTGGGGTGCAGGGGGACCTCTTCATGAAGGCAGAGCAGAAGCACCAGGGAGTATCGGCACATAACAGGGTTTCTGATAGCTAAGCATCTGCCAGATGGAGAGCCCTGATGTGGCTGGGGCAGTAGCAAGAGGAAGGCCGTACTGCAGCATCCCTGAAGCCTCTGGTTTGCTTCCCTCCTCTGCAATCCCAGTGAGTTATCCATTCACGTGGATAGAAGGCACCAGTTTAACCAATTCTAAATGCTGATCTGTTGCATTTCCAACATGATTCCAAATAA